AAGAGTACCACTTTTGTACTTTTTAGGTACTAATATGTTCCCTTGAGGTATTAATATGGACCTTTAGGTACAAATTTGTACCTTTTAAAAAGGTACCACCCCAGTGACAACTTTATTTCTGAGAGTATAGGTTTGTAAAAATAAAATAAAAACAAACAAAAAAGTACGCTTTTTAACATTTAAATAGTATTTTAAGCAGTTATTGTTCTAATAAAACAGTGTTTACATAGTTTCAAACTCATTTCTAATAACGGATTTCTTTTTTATTCTGTGCCATGATAACAGTAAATAATATTTTACTAGATATTTTGCAATACACTTCTATAGAGCTTAAAGTGACATTTAAAGGCGTAACTAGGTTAATAAGGTTCACTAGGCAGGTTAGGGTAATTAGGCAAGTTATTGTATAACGATGGTTGGTTCTGTAGACTATCAAAAAAAATTAGCTTAAGGGGCTTATATATATATATATATATATATATATATATATATATATATATATATATAAATTTCTGTTAAAAATGTTTATACAACTTTTGCGTTTGCAAGATTAAAGTGCATAATATATTAGTTCTGATCTTAAAATTCCATTGCAACTGCATGGAAAATAGATTTTCGATTACCAACTGCCTGCCTATAAGTACAAAGTACTACCAGAGCAATTCTTACCATAGTGAATCCATGCTGATTTAGGGTATAGGCATTTTAAATGTGTTTTATATTAATGACACTGTCCTCGCCATCTGTCCAAAATACAGGACAAGGGACCATCTCCAATATGCTAGCCACCAAAGGCAAAGTAATTAATGACAGCAATAATGCCAGCAATAATGACTAGATTAAATATTTTACAGGCCGACTGCCATGCAGTGTCAAAGCCAAAAGAAAACTAACGGCCTCCGCTGAGATAATGCTTCAAGAGAAAGTCATAAAAAAGATATTGCTTGAATAAAATAATGAGTAAATGTTGATGAAAACTGTAGTGAAAAATTCAAGTTCGTAACACATGTTGTTTCACTAATTACGCTGCCCGGACATTCAAATGTGAAGTTAAAACATTCTTCTGCATTATTCAGCATCATCTGCATGATCTCAAGGCTTGATGTTGTAAGCAACTCCATAAATAAGCAGAAATGATTGTCTCTCTGCTAGTGGTACCTAAAGGAGCGGGTCAGAGATTCACTCTCTGTCCTAGAACATGGTCTCTGTCTGTGCTCAATTGACAGACCTGGCATCTGACAGGGGCATCTGCTCGCAGAGCCTGTGCCAGCGCGGTGTATACACGGAGACATCTGCTCCATTAGTGCCCAGGGGGCATCCTGGGCAGTACAGTAGACTGGGGGCATCACTACTGCCAGCTCCCTTCCATGGCACATCCCATGAATAGCACGGTGTAGCTGTTGGGCAGTCACGGCAGGGAGAACCTGGGATGCTTTCTTTCTTAGAGGGAGAAAGACTAATACAGTTTTGCTCTTTTTAGTATGAGAAGACATGCATAATTGATTAAAAGCATGACATGTTGCTTTATTGTGATATTTAAGCAATGCATTTACTCTAGGTATCTTTTGATGATACTTTTTAAAAAAGAAAACCTTCTTAACTGCATGTTATAAAAGATAAAAACTATCCAATATGAATTTATGTATAAATGTCAATTTTAATATCCTCTTTAAGAAATATTTTTCTTTGATTGTTTACAGAACAAACTACTATTATCCAATAACTTTCCTAATTAACATAATATCCTAGTAAGGCCTTTAAACTGGAAGTGAAACAGTCAGCCAAGCTTACATTATTTTGTAAATTGGTTTTCACTTTAATGAAAAAATATTAAACTCAATTAATGTAACCATTTTGATGAAAAGGGCATGTTTTACTATAGCTTACAGATACGGTGGAAAAATGGACTGAACACGGAGACTGTAAAGCCTAATTTAACCCAATACATGAAGTTGTGGACATGCATCGCAGAGCTGATCTAATTACAAGCATCAAAGTTGTGTCTAATGTATACAAACATACTTATGTTTTCTATTTTTCTTTTTTTTAAATACCATTTGTTTGTTGCGGTTTGGTTTACTCTCTCATGCTGGTGGACCGCTGCCTGACGAGGTGATTTACAATAAGACTAATGCAATGATTAAAGCACATGACTTCATGCTTTATTAAGTCATGTCTTTGTTGATTAAGTCAACAGATTTGGCCTTTTCAAATCAATCAACTTGATCTCTCAACATGTATGAAGGATGTAAAAACCTGCCATGTGAAAAGTAAAAAAGTAAAAATACCTGCCCAAATTACATCAGCACCGAACCTTGGTGAAACCATGGTTGACAGGCAGTCAGGCAGTTAGCCAAATACAGAGAGTGGACTGAAGGGAATCAAACAATTGGTAATTAAAAGGGGGAACAAAGAAAAATAGAATAAATATTTATGTTTTATATAAGACACACATCTGATGATTGTATTTGCACAAGCTCCAAACCCACAACTTCTTGCAATGGGTTAAATTATGATTTGCAGTCTCCATGTTCAGTCCATTACTTCCATTGTATCTGTTCAGCTGAGGGAACAGAACCAATCCCATGACGTCAGACACAGCGATATTCTATTATGGTGGTACCTTAGGTCTAAAAGCTATTGTAAAACATGTCCTTTTCTTTAAAATGGTTAATCAAATTTGTTTAATATATTTTGCTTAAAGTGGAAATTAATAACATAATAATTTAAGCTTGAATTCACTTCCACATTTAATTGCACTTAAAACACTAGTGTCTTTAGAAATAAGTAGAAAAACATAGTGCACTGTCACCATGGCAAACAAAGTCAAAATAAATTAGTTATTACTAAATGTTAAACAAGTCTTCCCTCTGTTAAATAGCACTTATTTTAGAATAATTAAAATGTAACAGGATGATTAAAAATTTTGGCTTCAACCAGACGTAACCCTGCAGGCACACAATATCATACGACATTAATATTAGGTTAGATTTAGATCATGACGTCAGGTGACCAAAATTCAACATCTAGCCAGAGTCTAAGGACAATGTTATTTTGACGTCCAAAAACAACGTCAAATTACGTTGATATTTGATTGATTTGAGATTGTGTTGGTCTCAGGCACGTGCACACATAGGGCTCAACCTGTGCAGTGCACATGCCCTTTTTTGTCTTGGATAGAAAGTGCCCTTCCAAAATGATCAAAAGTGCCCCCGCGACGCGGCACACCTTCGGTCCCGCCCTTCAGTAGGCGCGCGACAACACCGCTCTTGAGTACGCGCGCGACAACACAGCTGATCAGTACGCACGCTACAACACCGCTCTTCAGTACGCGCGCATCCACTCTGCACTCTGCACCCCCCCCCCCCCCCCTATTCAAAAAATTTATCCTGCACATGCCCTTTGGACGGTCTCTGCACGGGCCTGGTTGGTCTGATAGATGTTATAGTGGCAACGTCCATACAACGTCAAGGTGTAACATGATTAAATGTTGATACTTGGTTGATTTTATGACGTCGGCCTGATGTTGGGTTTCATTTTTTCAATATTACGTCATGTTGATGTCCTGTACCTGCAGGGAAGGCTCTACTGGGGCATATATGGTATATAATATGTATTTTATTTATTTTGATTTACTATGCATGTTATTATTTTTTCAAGATACTAGTATTCAGCTTAAACTGCTATTTCAAGGCTAAACTAGATTATATAGGTTAATTAGGCAAGTTAGCATAAGTAGGCAAGTCATTGTATAACATTGGTTAGTTCTATAAACAATAGAAAAAAATATTGCTTAAGGGGGGTAATAATATTGACCTTAAAATGGATAAAAAAATAAAAGCTGCTTTTATTGCAGCCCAAAATAAAACAAAAAAGACTTTCTCCAGAGCATTTGAATGTTAGTGTATATATACATAGGAAACTGGTGACTTATAACCTTGGAAGCCTGTTAATACTCTTTTAAACAAATCAGTTACGGTGAAATTTGACCTGAGGGAGTCTGGAGTGCACACAGGTGGCCCTGTAAAAGCTCCATTTCAACATCTGCTCAGGTTCCATTATGATATTGATCAAGAGCATCGATTCAATTATTAAAACGCTTTCTAATCTTCCCAATGAAAGTCTTATCGACAATAAATTACCCTATTACTTATTTTACAATCCAAGCTTCCTTACACTAACAGTGTTTGCGATAACACAATCATACGCATTACTGTTATCCTCAAAATGGATTCAGGGGACTTCAGAATGTCAAAGGTCAGGTAGTGACACTGATGTTCAACAGTCAGCACAGGTTGGTGCCTCTCAGGAGTTTGCCATGAGGTCATTCGCCATCTGACATGTAAAGTGCAGAGGGTTCAAGAGGTCACCGCTTACAGCTTGTGTTACAGCTTTTAATGGACGGGGACTATTACGCACCATTAGCACCACTCGTATGCGCTTTCATGTAAGAAACTTGAAAACCTGACTGCAAAACTGTTGCAATATATGCTTTGATTTTACAGATGGCCTGGGTTGTACTTCTGCAGTCTCTTTAATTTCATCTAATGCTGAGGTAGTTTATAAAGTAATTGCATGGAAGTAAAATGAGGAGTTTAATGGTGTCAGTTGTACTAAATATATTTGCATAGCTTTATAGTTTGACTAACTGCTGATTGCTGATTCTTTGGCATGTTTAAAAAAAGGGATTATGTTGTTCATACGTTTTTGATGATACCGAAAGTGCAAAGAAATAATCAGATAATTGTAGCAATCTAGATTTTGCTTTCTGGTAAGTCAGCGTTGTGAAATGGGACATATTCTGTGGCCTTCTCGAGCATGTCTCTATAATTAATAGAGAAAGGGGTAATGGTCCAGTATTAGGGAAAATTTTGATGTTAGATGAGCTATGTTAATGAAAAAGTGATGGAAAAGACATTAACTTCTCTCTGAACCTAGAGGTTCAAATGAAGGAGCAATATTCAAATGAAAACATTTCATCATCTTTTCCCTGCCAACAGAAATTAAGGAGCCCACACAGAAGGTTCAAGCCATGAAGAAACTGATCCATCAACTCCCCAAACCCAACCACAACACCATGAAACTGCTCTTCCACCACCTGAGGAGGTATGTCCCAATTCACACACATAAACAGCACGTTGCGACCCCTGAATCATTTAGCAGGGCGATGAGAGGACAGTGTTTGTTGGAAGCTACTATTCAGAGATTTTACATTGTAAATTGATGATATTTAAACTTAGGTGTTAGATTTTTGTAGTTCCTTATCAGTGTCCATTTTAATTACACAAACTTTCTTGATGTTAGAAGGGTTTTCACAAACTTCTGTGGTCTGAAAACTTCATTTGCGTCACTCACTAATGATGCTGTCAAGCTCAACGAAAAAGACCTTGTGTTTGAAAGCATGTCTCTCTTGCATGTCTTATCATATGAGCTCTCGTTGGACAATTTACTTTTTCATTTTTGCCTGTCTTCATTTTGAAATTGAACAGGACTGATGGTTATGTGATTATCCAGTGAGGCTTCTAGCTTTGCGTTTAGCTGTGTATGGCTCAGAAACTGTTCAGATGTCTGTCTTTCTTTTTTCAATGTCTGGTTTCTTTTTCGATTGAGCTACATTGTAAGTTTGGAACAACATTAAAGTATTAAAGTAATTAATTTTTTTTAGGTTAATTGTCCATTTGAGAAATAGTTTAATAATGCTTTGCTCTACTGTCATTGACAGTACAGAAACCTACAGTATACTGTTTACAACAAAATCATAGATAATGACAACTTATTCAGATATGTTCTACATCCAAAATTGCATACTTCAAATACTTATTATTTGGAGCATTATTAGCCAATTTCTTTCTATATTAACTGCTTTGATTTACTTATTTCTCTCTGCCAACAGTAATTTCGCACACTACTTCTAATATTTATGTTGCACACAACAATAATTAATTGCTGCTTTTTTTCTACTCAAAATTCAGACTTTGCAGGTGCACTTGCTTGATGTCAGTGTATGTTTCTTTTGTAAGTCTTTAGACCAAATGACTATTTTTGCACATTTTTAACCAAATTATTCAATCTGACAACCATTAGTGACTTCCAGTGTTGCCTCTCTGTGTTTTCATTCTTGTGATTACTGTTATTATTTAGAGAAAGATCATTCACTGCTTTTTTGTCACTTTTATTACGCTAACCAGTCTTCAGTCCTGCAATGAAAATGTCCATGCTACTTTAATATTGTAATCAAGTAACTTAGAGAAAAAAAAAAAAAAACAGACAAGAAGCTAGTGAACATACAGTTGTCTTTTTTAAGTTAGGATACTTTTTCTACAATATTCATTGTTTACATGAGAAATGCTAAGCAGACGTAGCATTTAGCTATTTATAAAATACTACACATAACTAATTGCTGCTACATTTGATCACAGTAATGAATTAGTATAAATACTTGACGTTGTTTGAAAGTGAGTTTTCAATTGAAATGTAAGATTGATCTTAGGCTAAATTGTAAGTGTGAAGCTAGTTGTAGCTTTTATTTACTTGTTGCAAGTTTTATGGTGTATTCTGTCAAAAGAATACATGTACAGTTTTAAGAATTAGTTTTGTTTGCTAGAAAGACTTAAAAAAATACATACAGATACACATATTGTAAAACCCAAAATGTAAAGTTAAATCAAACCGTTTGAGGAAACCGATTGATACAAACCATTTGAGTTAAAAAAACGAATCTATATGAGTATTGTGAACTTACTCCATTTAAGTTAAAGTATTGAGGTATTTAATGAACTGATTACCTTCAACACTGAGTTCAAAACTCTTTTCAAATAAGTAGAATTCAGTAAAGTATAAGTAGAACCCTCAGTAAATTTTGAGTTAACTACACTTATTTAATTCGATATAGTTGACTGTTGGGTTTTACAGTGTAGCATTATTAAAATGAATCTTTCAATTATTGGATTGTTACAGTATATTACAAATCAGTAGGGGTTGAGGCAACAAAAATAACCTAAAAGCTATTTTAGAATTACTAAGACATTATTTTCACAGTAGTTTTAACACTACTGGAAAAAAATAAAAAACGCATGTTTTATAATGTATGAATGTGTGCAGTATGTAGACATTCAGACATGTTGAATAGATACATGTTGTCACTGTCACGTGACTTACAATGTCAGCAGTGTCACTATACTTGGATTCACAATCATCTCCTGTGGCCTCATGGGAGAGTAAAACGTCCAGTGGATGTGCGCTAGAGAAGCTGGGTAACATCAGCTGGGTAATTTTCAGCTTCTGTTTTATGAAATTTGGATATACTACAGTCCACACTCTACTTACTTTATTGAATTTAAATATTAAATGTTCTGCCACAGGATTTTCATGTTTTCAAAGAGACTCACGAATAATGGGCAACCAGAAAACCTTCAGTGAATGGCCTCACTAAACAGGATGCAACGTGAACAGAGGACTCAATATGAACCATAATGTGTGTGTGTGTCTGTGTGTTTCCGTGTGTCAACGCTCAAGTCCTTGTCCATGATAGCGTTACTGGCACAGCCAGAAGGCCATATGGCTAGTCTCCATCTCCCAGGAGGGGTGTTCTATCCCACTTTACCCTTCTGCACATTTACCACCCTGCACAGGAGGGCCACAGGACTCATCTCAGATTGATGAGCGCCCCCTCCTCCCGTCCCCCAGTGGAACATGCCCTTTGGCACTAGTGCTAAAGTCTGTTGGGTTGCCCATGCCAGGTCTCCCAATCAGAGAACACTAATGTGTGACTGAGAAAGAGACTCTCATTGATCCACAGTCGATTTTCGAGACAGGAACACTGCATTCTGAGATGTTCTGATGTGCTGAAGAATAACTGGGGCTGCATTTCATGATAATAGTTGATGCGTGTTTCAGTTGTCTGTGCTGAATGTGTTACAACACAAATCTGCTGCCGCATCTGCTACAGTATAGGTCATGATATAAAGACAGATAAGGAAATATTATACAGTAATGTTGTAATATATCTGCTATAATGTTGCATATACTATATTATGTCTTATTTACCAGCATAACTTCCTATAATTTGTCATTTAGCCATAGGTATAACATTATTCTGTATTATGTAAGTTCACATTTAAATGTAAATTAAATTAATTAATAATGTTTTTATCATTATCGTCATCATTATCAGTATTTTTATTATGCCGTATTGCAGATTCTTTTGAGATATTTAGTCTGATTTACCCTCAAACTCAGTTCATATTGTACAAATTCCAAACTATAATTGTAAAACTTTTCTGTAAAAACTGCACAACTATATTGCAAACACATTAAATAAATTCAAACTATCACTTAAAATGATGCAATACTGTCTTAAAGACAGAATAAAACAAATATTATCTGATTCTCCATATTATTTAGCATTTAATATTATTATTATTTCATTATTGCAGATTAATCAGCACAGTGTTTTGTTTCTTCTAATGCTTTTACAGTAGTATATCTCTATGTATACATCCTTGTCATTTATTACAGTACATATGATTGTTTTAGGGATTACTGTTGGTTTTCCAAACCCATATTCAAATTTCCTCACAAGCACAAGGGTAAAACATTACCATACATTCACTGAATGGTGGCATTCGAAAAATCCATTCAGCTTTTATTCTGCTTGCTGAAAAGCTGTTACAGTGGAACTTGCGGTGACACTGAAAATCCCTGCAGTGCCACCAAGTCTGTTCTTTCTCCACAACGACATTCCCGCTGCTCCTTTCTCTCACTATTAGAGCAATAAACGGGAAGAAGGCTTCAGATGGAGCGCACTGCTTCGCTTTGTGGGCACCACACCCTGGCCAAGTGATGTGGTTCTGTTTGTTTTATATTCTCACTTAAGTCATACTTGTTTCTCTCCACTGCTTTTCTCCCTCTGTAAACATCAGGATGACTTTCCCATGAATAAAGGCAAGGAATGTGCGGTTACAGTGAATCAAGCGGACATATCATGAAAGTCTGAATTTTCTTTATGTTTAAGAGCTATACAGTGGTCCCTCGCTATAACACAGTTCACTTGTCGTGGCCTCGCAATTTCACGTTACAGCACATTGTCTTCTGCGTCCCGATTTACTTTTGTCAATCTATCTTCTACAGTACAGAATGCATTCAGCTTGCCAAATTTATATGAATCTTCAATCGCTGACAGTGTGACTCTGAAGTGCTGTAGTGTATATTTGCAAGTTTTCTCCTCAATAAATGCCATCATGTTTACGAAATTTTCAGCAACCTCAAAGGCTCCAACGGTAGCACTTAAAAGGCAGAGGAAGATGCTAACCAACGCACAAAAAGTTGGACTTAAAGGAAGGTAAAAGTTAAGTCGCAGTATTCTACCGAATCTTCGGTTCGTTACATTTGCTTTTACACCCTTAAAACATCTATGTTATTGAAAAAATAAAGCTGATGACTTCTTGGATTTCGCTTATTGCGGGTAATTTTTAGAACATAACTCCTGTGAATATCGAGGGACCATGTTAAACCTGGAACATCATTTTTATTAAAAAATGTAATCCATATTCCCTATCCTCAACTGTAAATTATTCACAAAATCAGAGGAGAAAAAGAGTTGGATAACACTTATGAAGAAGTGCATAAACCTAATCATAAGCCTAAACTTAACATAAATGGTAAACGCATCCATTAACGCTAATTGGAATGTCGTTACAGGATATACACAGATGTTAACCCAGGAACATGTTCTACTTGGTGAAATTAGGGTGGCAATCCTGCTGTGAAAGAAAATTGCTGAAAATAGAGGGTTTTAAGCGTGAACCTAATACGTCTACTCCAGCCAATCAGAACATTCAGACGCATTCACATCTGCACTGTTTATGAAAATGAAAGCCTTTGAATATTTTTCCAGACACATTTAGCTGCTAGATGTTAGTCAGATAACGTTTCTATGTTCCTTCTTAATGCCAACTGTATAGAAAATTATTGATAATTAATGATAAATTATGATAAACCGCTGTTTGCTTACCTTCAAGCTCTGCTTTAGTTGTTTGACGTGTGTGCTCGTGAAGTGAAGGAGTGCTCTGGTGAGCGTCAGCACGCACATATTATGTACATCTTGA